GCGGATCGGGTGGAAGCAATGTTATTCAAGGTGGCCGAATAGTCCCCCCCCCCCTTGGCCGAATAGTCCCCCCCCCCCATTTGATGTCTGAACATTTATCACAGAAACAAGAGAGTACTGCATGTAATGACTACTAATGGCAACAAAATTTAATTAGTCTGCATTTTGATTTTTGGACAGAAGTAACATGTGAAACTTTAAAATAATACTAGTTACCGTGCAACTTATATAGCTCCCAATCATTTATTTCGTTTCATTCTCGCTATATTTTAGTTTTATTTGATATATGTGAATGAAATAAATCTATGACATTACAATTAAGCGAGTAAAATATTTTAAAAGGTCGGCGGTTTGCAGTCTCGTTGAAATGTGTAAAATTGACAATTAGGAAGAGAAGTTTAGAACGGATAACATAATAAGCTATAAGGTTTTCTAGTTCCATACGTAATTAAATTAAAAGCTTAAGCGCTTTTTGTAATAAAAAATATACACTGAAGTATTTTGATTTTAATTTTCTTGGTTCAGAAGAAAGCAGTAAAAAATTCAGTCAATTCCTAGTACAAAGACAGCTAGGATGTCTGTGAGTCACACGTGATTCATGGCTGCAGCGAGTCACACATCAATCCTGTGTCTGTGAGCCATGTTTTAATAGCAGAAAAGACTCCCTTGACATTTCTGACAAATCCTTCAAAACTTATAGTTGACCATTGCAAAATTTCTACTGTTATCACAGATTGAAGTTTTGATAGTATAAAACCGAGTTTTTATTAATCATCATTGAAAATTTCACACCCCAACTACAAATTCATAAGATCTACATCTACAAAACTCTTCAACTGCCCCCCCCCCCCTTGTCCTCTCGTTGCTCAGTTTGCTCTAATTACCGTCCCTGGCCGATATATTTTTACTGTATATATGAAACGTTGAAGGAGAAAAAATACGACGGTGTGCAGAATGACCGACACCGGTACCTGACATTAAACATTGGCATGAAACATTTTAATTAATGAAACATTTAAAAAATTTTATAAGTAAGGTGGCTCCCTACAGTTCACTAGAAAATGCAATACTGACATAGCAACTGCTGTTACTATGGCCTAATGACGCTTCAATACTGGCAGGCCGATATTTTGGGTTTAAAACTTAACTCGGAAAATAAGGTGGGTTATCCCCATTTTTTATTTCATTAAAAGAATTCTTTTAGTATTTTGAATCATTATGATTTTTTAAAAAAATTCTGGCAAGCGAAAAAAAATTGTTGCGAATTATTACATTTTCCGATCTTGAAATATTTTGGCATGACTGAATTTTTTTTAACTCACGAAAATTATTCAAAATATACTAATAGAAATCATGATATAAAATAAGAAATGGGGGTCACCGACCTTACTTTCGAGTTAAATTACTTTAAACCAAAATTATTCTCCATATTCAAACGTCAATGTTGCCATAGCAACAGCTGTTAGGACTAAATATTTAAAAACTCCGAGCTCCTTGTAAGTTATTGTTTTATTCAAGTCAGATACTTTTTGTTTTTCAACAAATATTTATTGTCCGGAAATTCATGTCCGAATCAGAAATCTTCCATTTTTTGAAAAGTGTAGGTAGCCACCTTAAAAATTATTCAACACAGTAGAATATAAGAAAGGTCTAAGATGCTCTACATGTCTATGTCTATATCCGCTAGTTTATATTTAGGCAATCCTATCTCATTGAAGTGAGTGCATGTCTATATATATTTGCTGAATCAGTTTCAGTTCTTGTTGGCTTCAGTTTGTGGTGTCATTGCTATTGGCGGAGCACTTGTTCCTGGTGAATATACCATGCCTGGAGGTTGATATTGTGGGGGTTGATTTGGATATGGTGGAGGGTTTTGGAAATACATTATTGGTTGTCCTTGATGTGTAGGATATTGTTGTTGGGTTGAAAAGAGTGTCGTTCCTGTGGTTGCAAGTTGTGATACGATCACACCTCCATGAGCGGAACGTGTTGAGGCTGCCGCAGCACAGCAACAGCAAAACACGACAACTGCAATGGGTATGACGATAACGACAATAACACCGATAACAATTACTGCAATAACCCAAGCAGCTAGACCTTCAATCACGACATCGCAATCTGTGGCACATTTATCATCAGAATTACAACATTCTCCAGCGGCACAGTTGCTGTCAACGTTACAAGACTCACCAATGCAATTGGATCGACATATATTGTCTTCAGGATATTTTCTCTTGCAGCAATAGCGTTGATAGCCAAAACATTGCGAGTCAAAAAAACATTCGGCATTCGCTGCCACTTGAGAAAACACAACGTAAAGAACGGGAAATAAAACACAAAAAAGTGTAATCTTCTTTAAACACGCCATTGTTTGCGTTGCAATATTTGTGAGAAATTATTTTAGGTTGAAATGAACTTGTTTGCAGCTGCATGGATAGCCACCTGCGGAATAGTCACCTGCCGACTGCATCAATTTATTTGCTGCTTCGATTCCGATTCGTCATTTTACATCATGTGGTCCAGAAGGATTTAAATGAATATTTCCCTCTGTATGAGTGTACAATAAGCTCATTGCATAAATAATCAAACAATCAAAAAACCGCATTTGTATATCACGTGACAATGTGATATTTTACGGTATTTCACTCAAATTCATGATTTCGCAATGCAGCATGAGATATAATTATAATGAGATACTAGGAGTTACCATCGCAAGGAAAGTGCTGTCTTTTTGTCACATGAACTAATTGCAAAATTAATTTGTATAGTTATACACATACTATGATATACTTCTGGACAGTTCATTATACGTTCAATATTTGTTCAATATTTATTCATTTTATTTATTTATTTATTTGTTCATTATTTGTTCATTATACGTTCATTATTTGTTGAGTTTATTATTTAAGTTGTTTATACCTCTTCTCATTTTCAGAATTCAAGAATCTTTTTTTTAAGTACTATATGTTTTAGCATTAGAAAATACATACGATGCTGACAATCCCCGCACATGGAAAAGTTTGTGTATAAAATGTAATTCCGCTCGAAGTAGGAATGTTCGGCATGAGAAATTTCCAGTATCGGTATACCGAAAAAATTATATCGATATTATCGGTATACCGGTTTTCCTTTGATAATTATAAAGGAAAATTCTTTAATGGAAATTTGAAGGAATTTTGAGTAATTCTAAAAGGGAAAACGATCATTTTGAAGCTGCTTCGAAATCTAAATCATTTCAGTAGAAAGTTCTTTGAATTGCCATTCAGTAGTAAAATAAAGGTTATGGTTTTGCCATATAGTTGGTAAATGTAACACGGTATACCGAAAAATTCCGGTATATTGGAAATTTCGGTATATCGGTATATGGCTGAATATCCGGTATCAATATACCGATATTGATTTAATACCGATATTTTCGGTATATCGGTATACCGAACAGTCCCAGCTCGAAGTTTAATAATGAACTCTCCATTGACATGCTTCTTTTAGACATAATATAATGACTGCATGTTGTTCATGATTAAGTATTGTTTATTGTGTGTGTTTAGTATACCTTGTAAATTGTGAAAGTGTACCTATTGGGGCCGCTGTAATTGGCAATAGCAGTTGTGGTTTCCCAGCCAATGAATGTATAAGTACTAGTGTGATGGCAAAGTAAATAAATAAGTAAATAAATAGTTCTCTAAAGCCGGAGAAGTTTAGTTTTGACCCAATGGCCTTATTTCCATGTTTCGTCATTAGTAGCATGGTAGGCCTGCACATGAAGGTTATATGTCCCCTATGTCCCTCAAATTCTGTTTTTCGCCCAATCACAAATTTATTCTTAATTAAATTGAGTGTACGGAACATGTGTAAATAACTAACATGATGAGGCCATTCGGGTCAGCCAGAGAGTTGAAAGATATATAGAAGACAAATTATAGTGCATGTGACAACAGCTAAATGGTAGTCTTTTAGGGACCGCTTATTATTTATTGTACACGGGGGGGGGGATTGAGGAGAAACTGGGGGAGCCTTTAAATTTTTTTAAACCTGAAAGGGGGGCATGGATCTTGACCTGAGTCCAAGTAACGGTAGTCACGCCAGTAGTAGTAATACAGAGAGACGAAAGAAGGGGGGATTTGAAAAGATTTACTAGTTTGAAAAAAAATATTAGTAGTTTTAAAAATGTATCACAAAACAACTTAACAACAAATAACAATGTTTATAGACATTTAATATTAATATTTATAAATGGAAGCCAAATAAATAGTCTCTTATATGTTCATGTAAATAGACAATTCCCATTACAGACTAATTTTTTATCTTAGCAAAAAAGTATTAATTCGCGGAAAGAGCATACTAAAA